GAGAGAGAGATGTATAGATAGACACAGAGAGAGAGAGAGAGATGTATAGATAGACAGAGAGAGAGAGAGATGTATAGATAGATAGAGAGAGAGAGAGATGTATAGATAGATAGAGAGAGAGAGAGATGTATAGATAGACAGAGAGAGAGAGATGTATAGATAGACAGAGAGAGAGAGAGAGAGAGAGAGATGTATAGATAGACAGAGAGAGAGAGATGTATAGATAGACAGAGAGAGAGAGAGATGTATAGATAGACAGAGAGAGAGAGAGAGAGATGTATAGATAGACAGAGATAGATATATAGATAGAGAGAGAGATGTATAGATAGACAGAGAGAAAGAGATGTATAGATAGACAGAGAGAGAGAGAGATGTATAGATAGACAGAGATAGATATATAGATAGACAGAGATAGATATATAGATATAGAGAGCGAGATATATAGAGAGAGAGAGAGAGATCTAGAGAGAGAGGGAGATATATATATATATATATATAGAGAGAGAGTGAGTGTATGTGTATATATATGTGTATGTATACGGGGCGATGTGCCCACACGGCTGTCAAATTGGGATCAGTGTCTGTGCAGCTGCCGCCTCCCAGGTGACATGAATAGGACTGTCTGCACGGGGATGCACAGAACACACGTGCTGGTAAACATAGCTCTTGCACAGATGTATGCTGTAGTATTCCCATATGAACAAGGCCTTATAGAAAATCCACATGAGGCCCATCCCTGATCATGAGGTAAACCGTGGCATGGACTTTACATTAGACTTGTGGTGCTGTGGCCTGTGTAGCTGTACCAGATGTCTCTGATCTAGTGACAACCACTGTCCTTGCTTTTTGTGTTGCTGTCACAGGGATAGAAAGGTGAGGGGAAATCTTCCAGATGGATTCACTTATAGCAATGGCAATTTGACAGGAGCATTTAGTCTTTGCAAATCTATCCAACACTATATATTTTTACTGCATTTGGACTTTAAAGTTTAATTTTAAATAAGTTCACCTTTGGGAACATGGTACATGTTCCACCTTAAAAACGGGTGACATGTTCCCGCTCCTGCAGCTGCTCCCTGATCCCCACACTCCCTGTGACAGCAGGCTGGGGATCTTCTCTCTATTTGAAAAGAGTGAGATCGTGCAGGGCATTGCCCAGACGGCTGCATCATTTATTCACAGAGTTCTGTGAATTAATGAACTACAAGTACAGACCGCCTTTGTGGTTGTAGGTTTGTAGTTCTCAATGAATTACCAGGTTGCTGTTGAGCGCTCGGGTAGTTCATTGATGTATCCTGTCATTGTGTAACTGCCAGCCCACAAAAGGTACCAGCAGACCGATACCCTGACAGTCTGTAAGAGCTCTGAATTGCACCCATGATCTGCTGATCATGCAATGCTTTACAGGCTTCTAATAACAAAAAATTAAATAAAATCCTTTTTTGTTTACTTGCAAAAAGATGCGTATTTATTTTATATCCTTTCATTTATTTTCCCTTGGCTTACTGCAATATTCCACCTTCCCATTAGATGGCAGACTTGGACCATGTCGCCGTTCAAGTCACCAGGGCTTTGATGGATGATGATTTTTGCTGGGAGGCATACGTGGTTGCCATACCAATTATTATCCATCCACTACATGCAGTAAGGTATTAGTGAATGGAATTTAATCAGGGTAAAGAAAACCTGCAATCTGCATGTTTGGGTATCGTGTTTTGATTGTGGTGTTACCAGGTCTAATTAAATGTGCTTGGTAACCTTTTACATTTTCAGAGCTTTCAGGTAGAATCATTCATTCATGCAATAGGACTTGCCATTCTCTAGCATCTGCATTTCCACCTCGCTGGGCTGTGGTCATAATTCTAGAAGCATTGGACTTTGGGCTTTGATCTGTTTTTGACCTCCGTTCTTCTCCAATCCAAAAAAAAGAGAAATAAATCATTTCATTCAAATGTTTAGGCTGAACTTTTCTATGACATTGCTCCCGGCAATGATTATTTTTACTTATCTGTGTCAGTAGGACAGTCTCAGTAGAGGTAGCGAGCTTTCTCTGTATGCGGGTGATTTTATCTACCCCTACCCACTTACAGGTTGCTAGGCAACTGGCTTGTGCGCAAGCATCAGTAAACACACGTGCGGGCACAGGGAACGCAAGTTAAAGCAGCATATTAATTTTGCAGGATGATGAAAGCAAATATTGGCTTATCAAATATGGTTAGAGCTCGTGAATAAATATCTGTCATCCGTAATATATATTCCACCTGTCATTCTATTTCAATATATATATCATTTTTGTGTGCTCTATATTTTCAGATGAGTGGAGTCTGATTATAGACCGCAACGCTTGCAGCAGCAATAAAGCTTGGCTATACATGGATCGAAATTTAGCTGGTTCAGCAGGGAGCGGCTGAATTTTCATCCATGAATGGCCACTGGGGTTGACCAGAAGTCGATCTACTAATTGACTTCTGTTCAACCACCTTGTTGAATTTTAGTCACTCGATCAGCACTGCGGGCTATAGTCTGCGACACTGATCAGTGTGTGCTGACAGCGATGTAGTCGAGAGATGGCAGGGAGAATTTCTTCATCCACTAACTGACAGGGCAATCAGTTTTTTTATTCAATCCACTGGTTGAACAAAAAAAAGCTGACTTCTGTATGGGCTGCCTAAGTCATCAGTTGTGGTCACTTTGCTCTTTCATTCTGTCCGCATGTTTCCTGTCAGTACATGTGTATGCAGCAGACCCTGATTGGTTCCCAGCACTGTCCCTCTCCCTCCCAGTGTTAAAAAAATAAATAAATAAATAAATAAAAGCAAGGAGGGGGGGACGGGGGGGGGGGGTTCTTTGACTTATAGTTCAGCTTAAAAAGAGAGCTGTCCTAGGAGAAATATGGAGGCTGCCAATACTGACCACCACTTGATAATGTGTTTTGCTTCTCGGTCTCCGACTTCAATGCATTCTAAGTCTCTGGTTTGGACAGACAATGCAGTAAGAGAAGTCTTGACTCCTTATTTGTAGACTTTTCCAGGGTGAGTAACTCTGTAATTATGAAAAAAAATTGGATTCGCATTGACAGCCAGGAAACTAGCTTTTACAACAGGAGAGCTCCGCACTGTCAGCCTACATATTTCTCTCAGAACAGGTTTCCTTTTGGGGTGAATGTGTTGGGAGGGGGGGGGGGGGTAGAACCCAGCTAACTTTGGAGAGGTGGGGAGACCCCTGTCTCAGCTCCCCATATCCCTACTATGTTAAGTCACCCTGTGCCTGTTAGGGGTACAGGGTGATCTGTCCCAATACTGGGGTGGGGGGTTGTTGATTGTTTAATGCCATGTGGTTGCATCCAATTGTTCTACTGTGTGTCTTGCTTAGGAGCAAACTATTATGGGATGTATGTGTTTGTGTATTGGCTTGGTGGGGGGTGTTTCCAGCAGCCCTCCCTCCTGATGGGACTGTCTGTTGGTGTGTCTCTTGTTACTGAAGGTAGATTGCCCCGCCCTGTGTCATTATGCAGGGAGGGGGGATTGTTCCTTTGAATGTATATATCTTGTATCTGTGTTAAAATAAAGTAGTATATTTCCTGGTTTACTTCAAGACTAGTGTTGTCTGGTCTTGTATGGTCGGCTGTGGTGTCTGTGGTTAGTGTTCGGACAGGGAAGCGGTATCCTAACGGAAGTATCCAAGTGCAGTCTGGGGACGGTTCCGTTACACTGAACTACTGGAAGATATAAACCATTAGGTATATATTTTTAAATGCAAGCAGTATATATACCCTGATATGATTTGGTTTCATCGTTTTGCAATCTCTGTACAGCAGAGCTCACACTAGGGAAGGGAGAAGCAGCACAGGGAGTCAGCCAGTTGCAGTGCAAGGAGCATTTTTATGAGAGGAGAGTGACTGACTTAGGTGAGCTCATTGCTGTTCACTGTCCAATCACAGGGTGGGGAGGAGACTTGTGAGAGCCGCCAAACTGCAGCAGAGAAAAAAATAGGGCTGTGTGGTGTGGCATAGCTGTGTAAATATCAGTACAGGATGGACAGAAAAAAATCTGTTTGCCTGGAGTTCAGTTTTAAGGGGTTCACACAGGGAAGGGCTGACAATTAATGGGGCCCCCGGGCAATAGGGGATCATGGGGCCCCTGTGTCCTTGCCCTAACTCAGAAAAGCCTATGAAAAAGGTACCAGGGGCATCTCATGGGGCCCCCTACTGACCCCGGGCCCTTGGGCAGTGCCAGAGTTTCCAAATGGTCAGTCCGCCCCTGGGTTCACATAATTTGTGTCTTAAAAAAAAAAAAAGATGTAGAAATACAAAAGACCTCCTTGTGCCGCACACCTTGCCTGACCTGAGTGGTTAGCAGGTAAAAGCAGCCTCCGCTCGATTCATCCAGGCCACGCTCCCATGTTGAGGACGTGGTTTGGATGAATTGAGCTGAGGCTGCTTTTACCTGCTAACCACCACTTGGGCTGGGCGATGTGTGCAGTGGTTGGGGGTACCTCTTCCTATTTCTACTGCGTTCTTTGGGTCTGGATGAACCTTTTTGCAGCCTGCACCCTCATTCGTCAGCAGCATCCAATTCATCAAATCTTGTTGGCCTGAGTGGGGGCTACTAAGCATTTGTCGGATTTAGAAAGATGTTCGATTTCCTCACTGTAGACAAGAAAAGTCAGTTGCTGAATGACAAGAAGCCGCATGCTCTGCTGGCCGCTGCGGGTGTTCCGGGAGTTGCTGGCTGGGCAGGACGCACTGGAAGCTGTTCAATAACAGCTTGAGACATTACTTGCTTAAACTGTCTGTGAAGCTGTCATTGCTCTGCTCCCTAAATCAGAGTCAAGGAAGCTTTGTGTCCTCCAGCAGTTGTAGAACAGCGAGTTCCCCCCACAGCCTGGCACCAGGGATGGGACTTCGTGTTCTGCTGCAACTGCACTATTGCCTTCTGCTGCCTTCATTCATTGGACCATCCGTGTGTCTTATTCTACTGAACTTTGGTCTTTCCTTCTAGGTTTCGAGATCCCAGACGGTGACGGTGAGAAGTTGATGACCCCACAGAGATAGTAGATTACATTGCAGATAAGCAGGATGTATATGAATGAAGTATATGTAGAAAGTTCTTTGTTTATTGTAAGTATGAGTAGTTGTTACCTTGTATGTGTGTTACTATAACCTCAGTCCCTGTCCAAGACGGCATAAGGCTGACTTGTGCAGGCCATAGACGGGTCATTTATCGGCCGAATTTTTGTCCGTACGAATAATCGACCGATATTCACGCCAGTAGTGGGGCCAGCCCGGCGGCCGTTTTTCACGGATCTTCTCAATTATTTTTATCGGTCATGCTGGAAAAGCCACAAAAATCGGACGTTTTTCGTGGACGTTGGTGGCAGCATCGGCAACGGGGCCGACCGATTTTACGTTTATTGGCCGATAAATGGCCCGTCTATGGCCTGCATTAGGAGTAGGTGAAATGCAGATGTGAATGCACCAGTGAATGATCTCGGAAGAGTCTTAGGGCCCGTTCACACTAGAATGCCACGTGACGATTTCCCGCACCGCATTCCAATCGCACTGCTCTTGCAGTCTGCAGCGGCTGTCAGTACAAAAGTAACGACACCTCAAACGCAAGTTGCAAGCACAGTGAGTTTGCCCGCACTGGATCACGTGGTACAAAAGTACCTTGCAATCCAGTTGTAGTGTATTTCCAAATGTACTGCATGCACTACTTTTGGTGCGGTGCATGGGCTTCAAAATGAATGGGCTGTAAATCACACTGCACAGGAACTGCAGAGCGTTGTGCTAGTCACATATAGGTCTTCGGCTACGTTCACACTAGCGCTGTGTGCAGGCGGCAGACAGGCGTTTGGGAAGCGTTTTTACCGCTTCCCAAACGCCTCTGCCAATTCTGCACATTACAGCACATGGTGCTGTTCTAACGGGAGCGTTTGCGTCGCGGCAAAACGGACGCCTCTGGACGAGTCAGGAGGCGTTGAAGCCTCCTATTCTCGTCTATGGTGCCGCTCCGCAAACGCCCAGCCGGCGTTTGCGGTGCGGTTGCGGGGCGTTTGCGGAGCGGTAACACCACTCAAACTGCATTATAGGCGTTTGTGGGGCGTTATTAACGCTCGGCAAACGCCTAGCAACCGCCGCTAAACCGCGCATGCGGCGTTTGCGGAGCGTTAAAAAACGCTCCGCAAACGCCGGACCAACGCTTGCCAAACGCTATAGGGGCGTTTGGCAAGCGTTGGCAAAACAGCCTAGTGTGAACGAGCCCTTAGAGTGAATGGGCCCTTAAACTGATTTCAAAAGCAAGCAGAATAATCCTAAAAGGAAGCTGCAAATGCCTACTGATACTAGACTTTGGTTCACGCAAACATGGAAATGACAGTGATGCTCTCGGAACCCCCTTTTACTTGTCTGTTGAAGAGGTGTTCACAAACACACCACTGCAAACTCCTATCACTCACACATACCAGGTCTGATAAATTAACGCTGGAGTTCTAAATTCAAAATGAATATATTATCATGGTCCTCAGTGGGGTGCATACCTACCTTGAGGGCCAGTTCATACTACATGCATTTTTTTGCTTTTTTTTTCTGCATCCAAAACACACAGAAAGTAGGCTATATGGTTGTCAATGTCATAGTTAATCGCGGTTCCGGTTGCAGAAAAAAAGTAGAACAGGCTGAATTTTTTCTGCACAGGACTGTACTGGAACTCGGTAAAACCCCCTGGAATGCACCAAAATGCCCCACAAACGCACTGGAACGCACATGTCCCTAATTTAAATTGAAGAAAAAGAGGGGGGAAAACTTCAAAAATACACCGCAATGCGCCAAAAACGCGCATGTGAAAACGCATCCAGAATGCATCTGGACTGCGGTCCTATGGTGTGAACCAGCACTGATTTACCAGATTCAGTCTTTCAAACACCGAGAAGTTCTACAACATAGGCCTCAGACGTATCTGGCCTACATGTGAGGAGCTCTCAGGAATATGGAGTGGATTACACAGGATACAGTTTAAAGAGTACAATTTTCTGGCTTTAGCACTACTAAATAGTTTCTTAGATAACATTGACTTGCAATAAAATTGCATTTTTTCATTTGTCAGCATCAACCAAGTAAAATTCTACCATTGATCTGTATGATCACTTTTGAAAAGTAAAACTACCGTGAATGGGAAAGTGGACAGTTTGTCTGCTGTCTACAAGTAGACCTAGACCTGTCTTACCCCCGGTTCCCATCTATGCAGCCATGCGGGCCGCGTTTTGCACAGGCATGAGAGCCCATTGAATGGACTCCCGTGCTGTGACACGCAGGGAAAGAAGTTCCTGCACTTCTTTGGAAAATGCAGCCCGCACGGGACCCTCAGTTCCCAGTACGGTTGTGTTTTCCAGTGCGGGCGGCGTGCCATTAGAACTAATGGCACCCGCCTGCGGGTCCGCATTCCTCTGTGCGGGTGGTGCGGCTGCACGGATTTTCATGTGGAGCTGCAGCGGCACCACCCGCACAGATGTGAACCTAGGGTTAAAGTGGAATTAAATCCTCCTATCTAGCCACGGAAGCTTCCATCTTGGATTCTGTTTGAACTGTAGATACCAAGATGCTGCAAGTGATCAGTTATGACACCAGTTTGGTTGAGAGTGCAAGCAACCGTGACCGTTCTCCTTCATGGCATGAATGTCACTGTTTTGGGAAACTGATAAATTTAGTTCCACTTTGAGTGGTACACTCAAAGATTTGAGTGTACCACTGTTTTTGGTCTTTAACCCAAGATACGGTTTCTAAAGCAACATGTAATACAAGCTGTGTTGTACTTTATTCCTCTCCTGTAAGTGATTTGTGCCCAGACTGCTCTTGACCCATTATAGGGAACACTTACATCAGCCATCCTATACATTTATATCCATCAACCTAGAGAACCTTTTCTCCAGCAATTATAATTATGCTGACATTGCAATTAATTTATTAACGGAATATATTCTAGACAAGGGTGCAAATGAAGGCTTCCGGACTATGAATCAACGGATCTGTTTGGGTAGCAGGAACTTCTCACAATTTAAGCTGTGTTTTTCATGGTCCTATGAATAAATTCTCACAAGTGCACTGTAATCTCCGCTCATTCTTTTACTATTTATGCTTAATCGGTTTGAGGTTGGTGCACCCTACGGACCTTAAAGTGGTTGTAAGCCTCAAACATGAAACGTGAACAAAGCATGTCTCTCTATAGTGTGTACTTGTCTCAATTGAGAGCACTGGGTTTCATTTCTGGCTGCTGCTTCATTTCCCTGCTATCTGCATGAATCACTTCTGACAAGTTTTCCTGACACCAAGAGAAAAAAGATGATGAGAGGGACCTAAAGTGGATTGGCAGCCTCAGCTCTGTTCCTGTGAGCTGTGTGGAGGGGAGGGGGGGGACTGTGTCTTCCTTCCAATCAGCTCTCAGAGCTCTCCTCACTTAGCTCTGTAGTGTGTATCTTCAGCTCTCTGCCCCTTTTTTTCTGAATTCTCAGACAAGCTTATAAATTCAGCACTTCGAATGGATGTAGAGAAGAGAAAACTGCAGATAAATAGGTACAACTTGTGCTGGAGGATTTATTTAATCTCTGTGTATGACCTGAAGCCAGTCACTTCACTGGGTACATGTAAATGTTTACAACCACTTTAAGTGAAGCCTAATCTAAATTATAAGGGTTGGTGATTGTTATTGGATGTTACATACAGTATGTTCCATGTTGTTTTCCTGCTCTGACTGGTCTCTCTCTCTCCCGCAGGTAGTTGTGCTGGGCGTCTTCTTAGCGCACCTGCATGTTGTGCCACCGCGGCTGCCGTCACCACTTCTTCCAGGATCCTGTATTTAAACTGTATGAATCGGAATGTGTTGGCCTTTAATAAATGTAAAACCACACTTCTGCAGTCTGCGTTGTCTGTATTTTTCTGGGGGAAAAGTTACTAAGGTTCGTCATAAACATGTTTTTTGAATATTTTGGAGAAGACCTTTCCGCATCGCAATTTAGAAGCTGCCATTGCTGATTTTGTTTTTAAAGGTACAGGCTTCTGGGCTGTCCTTCCTCTTTAGTTGGTATGTTAAATGCTGGACCCCCATCCTAATGGTAGTTGGAGTAGAGGTTTCTCTCTACAAGCTGGTAAGAAGACCAAATGAGGTTATAGTAGTACTGGTGCATAAAGGGGTTCAAAGGATGAGAGCACCACAGACATTCAGAAAATCTTTGCAACAATAACCGCTGTCAGTAACAGCCAACACGTTTCTGGGGTTCATCTGCCCCCCTTCATCAACGACAAATATGCAGGACCAGAGTGTATAGCTAAAGAGTCTATAAATATACAATAGGAGACTCTCCAATTCTCTGTCCTATTTATTCTCATCATTTAGCCTTTCATTGTCACCGATGATGAAGGTGGTGATAAACCCCCAAAACACGGTGGTTGTTACTCAGACCTGTTATTGTGGCAAATATTTATCTGTACTGCTCTCATCCTTTGAACTCCATCTTTTGGTCACTACTCGGTCACTAAACTGGAACAAATATGCACCCAGTGAATGTTGGGATCCTTGATATGCACATTCCGGGACTGTTTTACAAGGTATTGCGGACTCATTCAGACACTGGCTCTGGAATTTGCAGTTTTACAGTAGCAGCTCCCATCAATCCATCCTGATAGAGAAAGACGCTTTACAGAAATTCATTCTAACAAACATTTCAACTTTCCAAAATTGCTTTGTAAAATGTCAGAACCAAAAAGTGCCCAGTTACCAAACAAGCATCTGACCTTTAAAAGTCACACTGGAGGTAGATTTACTAAAACTGGAGAGTGCAAAATCAGGTGCAGCTCTGCACAGAAACCAATCCGCTTTCAGGTTTTATGGTCAAAGCCTAACTGAACAAGCTGACGATAGAAGCTGATTCGCTGCCATGCACAGCTGCACTGGATTTTGCACACTTCAGTTTAGTAAATCAATAACACTGAGCCACTAATTCAATTGCTTTGCCTAAGGTTGGCCATACATTATACATTTTTTTTTGAGCTTTTTGGTTTACCAAAACCATATAATAGGAGGTCAAACCTAACAACACGT